CAGCCTCAGTTTGCTGTAGTTCGATCCCCACAACACTCCAGCCATGCAAAAGTGCCCTGAAGGCATTCAAGGAGCAAAACACACACACACACACATACATACACACACACACACACACACACACACACACACACACAAGAAAACGACTGTAATAGTCTCATAATTTCTGCCTATAAGCTCTGTCATAATAATTACACTGAGAATAATTATCTTGAAGACAAGTGCCTTGTGACTCACTGAAGTAAAGCCTATAATACAGAAGTATACTATGACTGGAACATAAATATTCAGTATATATTTACTTTGACTAAAAGATGAGGAACTTAATCACAACTCCATTAAGCATTCAGCATTTTTACTTTCACACAGGTTTGGAAAATTGTCACAGATATACTTAACATATAAATCTTACTAATATGAATGGCACAAAGTGAGGCCAGAATGTTTTTAGAAAAGTATTAGGCTATCCAGAAAAGGCTGTGGCTAGGGATAGCCAAAGGGCTCAGTTTGAAAAGAATTCTCATAGTAAGTTAGCTAGACATTAATTTCGTATGTGTCAGTCTTTATACGTCTGGAAAAAAAAATTATTAGCAATTTTCAGTAATTCTCATATAAGCTAACTAACCTTGAGTTACCCGTCTGTAGAAATTACATCACGTGGCACTCACCTTCTTTGACAAATACTTCTGTTTTGGGAAAATGTTGGTGACTCGTGGTTTGTGATCTAATGTCTCCCTGTTATCAGGTGCTTTCACTTTATATATCCTGACAAGCCAATGTTCTGATGTAAAGGCTTCTTCCAAATGCTTGAATTTAATGTCCTTATTTCCTATTTCAGCATTACGTGTTCGGTCAAATCCTGGGGGAGTACGAAAATCCAGCTGCAAAAGTGACATCAATATCAGATGTTAACACACTGGAGAGCATTCAATGTTAGACGGCAGTGAAAGCTTCATTAGTGTAAAACTCCTTCCCTTTAAAATTAAGAACAGAACTGAATAATGTATCTTCCATATCAGTTCTCATACAGTGCTAACTAGACAGGAAGAAATTAGAAAAATAAAATAAATGCATCTACCTGAATAACAATTTCTCAGAATTCCTGGGTGGATAGGCAGCCTTTAGGCATTAAATCATGAAGTCCATCAAAACCATGTTACAGGTATACAGGGATCTGAGAAAGTGCTTTTTCTTTTTTTTTTCTGTCTGACAACTGCTTTCTCTGCCTGATATTGTTTTTATTTGGTTCTTTTGCATGCTGGCTTTTTATCCTTCATACTCAGCTAAATACCATCTCTTCAGAGAATTTTATTTATTTCTGAGATTCGTAGTTTAGTTTTCCTTAATAGAGTCCTATTCTTTTCCTCTGTTCACACTTTACTAGCATTTTTATTTATGTAAGAATTACCTGTGTCCTTCACTAGCATGATGACTATGTTGTTCAAGTGTAGCTGTAGTAATGTTACTACACCCTCAAAGTGGGAACCACAAAGGAGGCCAAGCAAGCCGAACTGGAGCATTTATAAGGAATTTGAGGGAATGTGGAGATGAGGTAGAGACTTCCCCTTCAGAACATACTGTATTTATGTGAAAACACAAAATACAAGTGAAGTCAACTTATAAAAACAAACCTACTCACAACAGTGAAAAATCTATTTCTGATCATCTACTTTTAACTATATATCATTCTTTTTTTTTTTTTTTTGTGGAACCAGGGATTGAACTCAGACCCTTGTGCTTGCCAGGGAAGCGCTTATTCTACTGAGCCATCTTCCTGGCCCCCTATATATCATTCTTGAGTAGGGCAGGCATCAAAACCATGAATAAACTTAAATGAAGGAGCGTCCTTAAATATAATCTTTAGTGAACAGAGAAATTAAATCATTTGCCCCAGAAAAACTGTTAAGTAATTATTATGGCCAAGCACTTCTTTCTTATCATGAGTTTAAAAACTAGGCAACGGCCTTTGAAAGAAAAACATAAAAACTTACAGATTATTATGAGTATACAGTTTTCTGTTTTTAAAGCCACCTGCAATGATTCCAAGTGGATAATGATGAAGCAAATAACTAGTTGTGCAAATCTACTTTGAGACAACACAATAAGCAGGCAAATGGTGAAATGCAAAAACTCTTTTAGAACTGGAAGAGTGTTCTAGCCTATTTCACCCACACCTGTATCATACAAGATAAAATGTTTCACAAATCAAGACCCTAACAAACCTCAGTTTGGAGAGTTACCTTGATTCCCCAGTGACAGTCTAAGATTAAATAAGTAATTTTTCCCGTTTTCTAGGGTAAGCACTTCACCAGAAAGCAATATAAAATTAATTTTCACTGAGATTTTGGTATGAAGGTACTAATTTGATAGTATAGTCTTATAATCTAAGAGCTATAAAATTTTAAAAATAGTTGAAGAGAAATAAGACTTGAATTCTCTCACAAATTCTTAGTAGGATGGACTGCTGTAACAAAGAACAGATTAATGAGAAAAATAAGTTTATTAATAAATGTAACACACATTACATAGGAAAGTATCAACAAGAAATAACTCAAAGCATTGGCTTAGAACTCTGGCTTCTATACTATGTTCAACAAAGGACAGTAAATTTGAGAAATGGCAAGTGTCTTTAGGCTTCTAAGGTAGAAAAGTAAACATATACAGGAGAAAATGATGGAGCAATAAGGTTTGTTTGCAGATACCCCTGGGGCCTTCTTTGGGCTGACAAAGAATCTAAGAGTAAAGGGCTGGGGACAGAGCTCAGTAGAATAAGTGTTTGCCTGGCAAGCACAGGGACTAAGATCAATCCCTGGTTTGGGGGCGGGGGGTGGGGGGTGGGAAGGCGTTATCTGTAGTACAAGCATTTAATTTGTGCCTTTAGGCATAGAAGAGTTTGGATAAAGAAAGAACATCCTTCATTTGATGCTCCTTAACTCCTTTTAGCTCAAAAATTACTTTTTTTATTTTACGGAGGCTGCCATTCTTACAAACAAAAACCAAGAGTTTAGGGAAAAAGCAACTGGTTTGGGAGTTATAAGACCTGCCAGTTTGACCTGAAACACAGACACTATGACATAACATCCATTGTTCCTTCATCACAATGCCTTGGTGTACATTCACTCATTTTGCACTCATTTATGTCTGTTCCACATTATTCTAATTTACTAGGAAACTCTTAGTTCTGGCTGTGATAATGGAGAAATGAAATAGAGTGAACTTATAATTCAGCTCTGAGGCTCTTCCCCACAAGACAGCAAAGTGAACTATCTAAGATCACAGTTTACTAGGTGGAAAGCCTCTCTTTCTGGAGAAAAATGCTTTTCAAAAGCATGAGGTCAAAAGGTAGGATGATGGCAAGCAAAAGGCTGAGTATGAGAAAAGTGTTAAAAAATATTTTAAAAGAAGTCCTTATTCTAAATATTTTTAATTTTTCAAATTGAAATTTCAGAGATCTGAATTTAATGGAAAAAAGAATCTTTAGATAAGCACATTTTTCTTTATATAAAGCACAATAAACATATCCTATTTTCTAGAAGCAAAAAGATTATTTTTTGAAAAAGATTATAGAAAATCTGATTTTAACTAACCTGCATTTCTCCAAATCTGTAATACGACATTTTATACATAAGGCAATTCAGTAGAGTAGGGGATCCCGCTTTGTCTACACGAAATTCTCCCTGTGGGGTGAAATAGTCACTTTCCTACAAGAAAGAAATCAGGAATTTCTGTCAGCTTCAGCTTCAACTTAACAAATCCAATGTTATAGATTCTCTTTTATTTCCCTTAAGAATGAGATTTTGAGGTATCTTTATAAAGGTATATTCATTTATATCCTTCACCCTTCAAATTAATTCCTTCAGTTTTAACTACATTATAAAGTTTTAATAATGTAAAAAGAATAGTGTGAAAACTATAGTTCAGGGCAAGGGAGACAGCTCAGTAGAATAAGTGCCTGCCTGGTGAGCACAGGGTCCTGGTACCACATACACACACAAATAGTAATAAATAAATAAATAAATAAAACCAAAACCATAGTTCAGTACCAGTGAGGGCTGGCTCTTTCTAACCTTATCTTCATTACCACTCTTGTCCTAAATTTTCCAATATGAATTCTAAAATCAGTTCCTTTTGTTACACAGGATTATTTACAAAACTACTAATGGTGTGTAGTACTATTCTTCACTGGGTTGATTTACAAATTAACCTCTACATGGAACAATTCTGTACTCAAAAATTTGTCTAAGAATTCATTCTATTGATTCATACTGGCAAAATAATGAATATAGAAAATTGTACCACTGTTTCAAATTAAAAATTAGAAATCACCTAAATAAATATAGATAGGTTAAACAAATCAGGTATACAAACACTGAAAAAATGTAAAAAAGAATGAAGAAGTGCTCCCTAGTCCAATATGGAAAGACTCTTGAGCCACACTGTGAAGCAAACAGAACATATATACCTTTTTACTATTACCTGCTTGACTAAAAATTGCCAAGAAATAGTGATTATCAGGGATTTTCAAAAGTGACAAAAATTACACATTGTGCAAAATTAATTTTTGCACAATGGTATACAAATTTGTATGATAGTATACAAATGATTTGAAATATGTAGACATTGTAAAATAGCTAAACTGACCTAATATTATAGTGACAATAGTGCTTACTACATTGAGAGAGGAAACAAGACTAATGCAAAAACAGCAATTTCAAAGTTATTGCCTTTTTTCAGGGTTATAGGGCAATGCAGGGTTAGATGCCATGAGCTGAAAGAGCTGAAGGGAGAAGCTATGAATATGTAGAATCCGGAAGTCATGCCAAGGGACTCCATCACATGGTAGAATGGAAGTACAATCATGACGATATGTCAAAGGCTTTGTCATGGAAACATTACTGAATGCACAAACCTAAATGGGATAGCCTAGAACACACTTAAGAGTATACAGCATGACAGTGGTCAGACATGTGGTCTGATCTAAAAGTATACAGTATATGAGTCTCAGATGCAGGAAATTCTTCCAGTTAATAAAGTCCAAGGTAAAAGACTAATCTGGAGGATAGAACTGTGAAAATAAATACAATAGAATTAGCAAAGTAAGAGAATTGAGTACTGTGAGCTTTTACATACTTGGGATTATCTAGTTTCTTACCCGAATGTCTTTTGGATGTTCCCCTTCAGCTATCCTCACCATCCAGAGAAACTTGTTGATATCATCACCAGAATAGCCAATAACTCCTCCAAAAATAACCAAAACATAATCTACATCTAGAGTCCTCATGATTTTATAGGCTGCTGTTTCATTAGAAGACATGGCTTTTCCCACCTACAGGATAAAGTGAATGTACAATTTTACTGCAAGATGGACTTAATCTCACCCAAAGTTTGATTTACAAAGAACTGTTTTGCAGAAATGATTTTCTATGGACTCAAAATATTTGACATTTATAAATGCAAATAATTTATACCAGAAATGTTAAAATCAGAATATATGTGTTATGGGTTGTGTCTAGTTGTCCTCACCCCTCCCTCCAAAGCCTCATGTAGTCTTGGGGCGGCTTCTGGAGTTTGTGATTGATTACTGAGGGTGTGGATGCTGCACCTGCCCTGGGGCAGGGAATCTGCATTATAATGTGAGGAGGGGAGAGAAGCTAGCCAGCTGCCAGAGCTGCTGCTGCTCCTTTTGGCTCTCCTGCTCTTTGCCTCTGCCATGAAAGGTTGCTCTCTGCAGTGTGCCACTCTGCCTTGGAGCCAGGTGGGTATTGGCTGAAATCCATACTGTGAGCTAAATAAACCTTTCCTTCCTTCATTTTAGGTGTCAAGTATTTGTCTCAGCAACAACAGAAAAGTAACCGGGACAACATGTTATAACATTTTGTTAATAATTAAGTTTTATGAAATTGCCATTTAAAAATGAAAGTAAGCAAGTTATAAGAGATACTTCCTCATAATTCCAGGCCAGGGCTGACCAGTAATTTTATTAGGACATATATTCTAACCAAGCATACATCTGATGATTAGCTACACTACCAATAAAAGTAGAATTAATTTAGCTAAGACCCATGTATTCAAAAATCTTTAAAGAGAATTATCTTTAATTATGTAGTAGTCATTCAGCAGGTCAAATGAACATAATTTGCAGAACCATATAACAGTGGAGTTGCTGAATATTTGCAAAAACTTTTTCTTATAGTGGAAAATGCATTTAAAATGCTAGCAGAAAAAAAAAATGAGACTGGGAGTGGTGGCGTGCACCTGTAATACCAGTCTGAGTTGTGTAGTGAGACCCTGTACCAAATAAATAACTAAATAACCTTTTTTTTTAAAAAAAAATGCTTTTGGGGCCAGGAAGGTAGTTCAGTAGTCTAAGTACCTGTCTGGCAAGCGCAGGGACCTGGGTTTGATCCCTGGTACCACATGCTGCACTGGCCCTGCCCTAGGTGCACTGACCCAGCCACAGAGACTGGGTGTGGTGGCACACACCTGTAATCCCAGGGCTGGGGAGGCTGAAAACAGGAGGATCACTAGGAGTCCCAGCTGTGTATTGAGACCCTGTACCAATTACATAAAATTGAAAGAAAAAAAAAAGTTTTGACCTTGCCTAATTCTCCATAAGAGAAACAACAAAATTTACCAATATAATCAGTATGCAATTCTGGGTGATCTTTACATAAGTATCACTCTTAAAAAACATAAGCATACCCTGAGGTCATTTTATTGAATACATATGCAATGTAGTATTTTGAGAATTCAGCAATCAGAGAGTACTTCCACCCACATTTTTATATTTAATCATATGTGAAGCCTGATAGCTAAGTAGTGAAAATTTATTTTTGACTTTACAAAAAACCCAACAACTTGTAAATCCTTACCAGTGCTATGTGGCTATTATTCCAGGTGTTATTATCCACCAATGTAGTTCTATTAGCCATTCCAGCTATCTGATAGCCATAATCCCACCATGACATCACTCGGGCATGTTCATCTGTGTTTTGTCTTAGCCAAAAGTAGGCTTCTCTAAAATCATCTAAGATATTTCTGGTGCTGAAAAGAATCAACATTCTTCTCAATTAAATCTTATAAATGTGAAGAGGATAATTTAACATCTTGAGATACTAAACCAAAAGAAAACACAAAACGCAAAACTGGACAAGTGCTTCTCAAACTAACACGCATGTAAATCTTGTATAAAATCAGATGTAGAGGGGCTGGTGAGATGGCTCAGTGGTCTAAAGCACCTACTTAGAACAAGCTTAGCAAAGCACAGGGACCGCGGTTCAATCCCCCAGCACCACATGCCAGCCAGCCTCGCCCCCTGGTGGGCTGAGCTGGCCACACACACACACACACACATACACACACATATAAATGAATAAATAAAATTTAAAAAATAAAAAGAACAAATCACACACACACACACACAAATCAGATGTAGAGTTCTGAGGTAGCGCCTAATATTGTGCTTATCTACTAACCTCACATGTGAGCAGAAGAGGAAGAAGCAAGATACTATTATAAAAGTTATTAAATTTTAGCTCCACAGAATTACACAAGCCTGTTAAACTACAAACTGTTGAGTCCCACATCCAGGTTTCTGATTCAATAGGCTTAGGATATGGTTATTTGTATTTCTGAAATGTTTCATAGTCATGATGTTGATGTAGTCCAATGAGCATGCTTTGTGGATTACTTGTGAAAAATACTGTGGAAACCAATGATTACTATTCATTCCACTGAAAGTAGACGAAAGGGTCACACTAATACAGATTCATGGGTTGAGCTCTTGTCTAACAATGTCTCAGCAGAGAAAACAAAAACAATAAAATTCAGAGTCTCTTCAACATTGTCTTTTGAGGAAAAAAAAAGTGTTATTAGAAAATGCTTGTATTGCTACATTGTGTTCATACCCGTCATGGTTATAGGAAGCCAGGACCACGCTGGGACTGGAGTAGGCATTGCTGGTGACCCAGGTACAGTGCACAGCAAACATCATCAACAGCATGAGCATAAGCATGGTGACGATGCTCTTGATGTTGGGGCCCAGCCCCTCCTCTGGCTTTTCCTGCTCAGCCACATGCTTCCGCACCTTGCCAGCCTGTGAGGACAAGGAGGGCTGAGACAGGCTCACCATGATACCCAAAGGAATAAAGTAGGGAAGATGTTATCTATCCATTTAATTCTGACTCAAAAGATGTGCCACTATCAGATATTCTTCTGAAGGTGATAAAAAGCTTTCTAGAATTCATAAATGTAGAGTCTAAAGTCAAAAGTGAATCACAAAATTTCCTCAGAATATACCCAATCCAGAGGCTGACTTCAGCAATGTCTCCAGTAAGAGGGTGCTTTCAAGCCCAGTTTTCCTTATCTTAAATACAAAGAATATAATAATCCAATGGCCCCATTTCTGACACTATAAAATTGAATATGTAAGTTCTTATAAAAATCTCAATTCTACATCCTGAAAATGGCAATGTCTAGCTGTAAAACAAGACTTCGGTATGGAAAAAAATGCAATTACAGAATCATCCTTACAAATATGAAACCCTAAAACAAATAGATCTGTTAAAACTAAGATTATCTTAAAAAAATACAAAAACACATTCACATATGTATACTCTAAAAACCAGAACAGAACAGTCACAAAGCTATCAAAGCTGATTAAAATGATCACGAAACAAAATACAAAATATAAAAACTACAAATACAAAAGCAGATATGTGTTTTATTACCAGAAATCTCTATGAA